AGTGGCAGTAGCAGTAGCAGGAGCAGTATAGGCAGAAGAGGAGGACGGGGAGGAGTGGGAGTACTTGTACAAGTACGAGTAGGACTAGGAGGTGGAGGAGTCATGGTCGTCGCCTTCGTCTCAGTCGCAGTATCTCGCTGCCGTCGCCTAGCAGCTACCTTGGTATTTGCACGTTACTTGGTCGGGCAATCCGAGTGGAACCGAGGAAGCCCCACCAGAGTATATCGCCAAAGTCTCCGGCCTGAGCGGATACCAGGACAGGGGTTTCCGGCCTGGACATCAGGGCCTGAGGGCTCAGGGCTTCAGGGTATGGCTGTCGTGAGTCATCCAGCGGTGGGGTTGCGGCAGCCTTGTGAAGGACCTGCTGATGGAGCTGCCCTGCTGCAATTAGCATCGTGCCATTGAAGGGTCGGCGTTGCCTGGAAGCTAACCCGCGCTGCAAGCTTCGAGCTTCTGAATCCCAGAAACCGCCTGGTCCAGGAAGTGCAAGTTCCTGTCCGAGACCATCGGGCGTGGCGGCTTCTACATCTTTCAGGGAACTCTCTGGCTCTGCTTTGCGTCCCTGGCTTGGTCTTGGAGGGTCTGGTTTGCTCACTGTTGGGAGGTTTACGGGTTGTCGGCATCATCCCTACACTCGAACCAACAAGGATCATGCGGAGGTAAGCCGTGGCAAGGTGTAGGGTGACCTCAGGGTATCTCAGGGTACACGCAACTCCGCAGCGTGAAGGGACATGACACGGACCTTCATTCCGAAAAACCTTCACCACAAACCTTCAGGTTGACAGGGCTGATGATGGTGAGGCTGATGCGGATGCCAATGGCCAGCAGCAGCAGCAGCGCTACTACTACTGCCACTGCTGCTGCTGCTGCTGCTGCTATTACTGCGACGACGACAACAAGAAAACCCTACTACTGCCATTACTACTACCAGTCTGACTACTACTACTACTGCTGCTGCTGCTGCTACTACTACTACTACCACTACTACTACTACTACTACTGCTACTACTACTACTACTACTACTACGACGGCGACTAGTACTGCTGCTACTGGTACTATCGCTGCCACGTGTGTTACGATTGCAAACGCCTCGGTTACATACTCCCAGTCACACCATCGCCTGTAAGAACGAACTTCGTACACGTTGAAGCCTGTTGAAGCCACCATCATCGCCACCATTGCCACCCTCAGCTGTAAGCTTATCACCATGGTTTTCACCATCATCATCGTGTCAGTCGCTGCGAGTACTTCGCTGCCAGATCATAGGTACTTCGCTGGTACCAGTAGTATCACACTAGTAGCTGCAGCAACACTAGCAACCAGCAGCAACCAGGATAATGAATGTGCTCATGGTCGTGATGATGACAGTGACCATGCCTTGGATATTTTCAGTAACGTCTTAGTAAGGAACCCGGGCTGAGGAACATGTTACATGTTGTGAAAAATTAGATTGGGATGATTGACAAGATTGAGAAGAAAAACAGGAGTTAAGAGAAAGATCGCGATGCTACGACAACTTTCACAGAACGACATACGACACAAGGACAGCAAGAACGGTGATGATGATAAGAAGACATAGACTTCCCAAAATAGTAAGGGCATTATTTTTTCCTTTAGTATGATTAATCTGAGGGCTGGAGTGGAAGAACAGCTCGGACATACAAGTGACAAGGTCTCTGACAGACATCCTTGACCTGGCAGCCGGCTTCGCCATGGTGCCTCTGCGCGAAAGTGGAGACTTCTGCTGGCCTAGTCTCCTGCTCCTGTTACTGCCGAGGAGGCTGCTGCTGCTTGTAACTACTGTTGCAGCTTCTCCTTCTACTGTAGTGCTAAGTCCTGCTACCTGACACTTACCACCGCTACTACTACAGCGCTGCTGCCAGCGCTACCGCTGCTGATGCTGCTGCAGCTGCTGCCATTCATACGACCACTACGACTGCTACTACTAAACTACTACTACTACTACTACTACTACTACTACTACTGCTACTACTGCTACTACTACTATTTCTACTACTACTACTACTACTACTACTACTACTACAACTACCACTACTACCACTACTACGAACTACGAACTGCTAAATACTGCTACAAGGACTACTACTACTACTACTACTACTACTACTACTACTACCACAACTACGAACTACGAACTGCTACTACTTCTACTGTTACTACTGCTACTACTACTGTACTACTGTACTACTACTACTACTACTACTACTACTACTACTACTACTACTACTACTACTACTACTACCACTGCTACGACTACTACTACTACTACTACTACTACTACTACTACAGCTACTACAGCTACTACAG